TATATAAGCTACTATGAATATATGAAAAAACTGGCGAACTGAGGTTAAAATGAGGGAGAGTATGCAATCCGGGCAGTTAGTGTTTGTGATTGTCTGCAACAAGCCGTATTTTCGAGAATCAATGTTAACAAAGCATCAGCCGAAACTTCCTCCGATAATTTGGGAAAACCCTTTTCAGGCCATAAAATATCCGCAAAAATCTCGAAGGAAATCCCGAGGTCTTTCGTGAAATTAGTACTCAGCTACTCTTTTTATCAGAACGATTGCCTGAACTATTAACGAGGAGAAGATCACATTACTTATGGAATCATTACACCGATCTTCGCTGACCTTGAGATTCCCTACATATCTGCTGAATATGACCTTCACCTTAATCACCAAAAAACACTGGCCAAATCGCCCGCAATGATATTTTTGCACAACGCCGAAGCAGTGATCCACAAACTATACGATGGTTCTGATGCAATGAGTAAGCCAAAAAAAAGTCCCCACAGGCTTCTACTACTCCAAAGCGAGAGGATAAAAAGCTCAATCCGGATTTTAACAGGGGAGCGGTACTTTTTTTCAAAAAATATAGCAACAAGTTCAATATTATCACCCGCGCTAATGTGAACAAAAAATATTGAAATTTACAAGAAAAAAAAAAGAGAAAGAACACAGGATATAATGAAGAGGTAGCCAAAAATCACTGTATGTTTTCATATATAACATAAAAAATTAAAAACAGAAAGCTGAAGAAACAAGAAACAAAATAACTAGATGACATACTATGTAATAATACGCAGAATATAACCGACAGCATATGTAATATCAATAACAAACAATACTTCAGAGCTTCGCAGCAATTATAATAATAAATTTCTTCAAGCAGAAAAACTTAGAAACATGCAAGACTCAAAAGAGAAGACGCCATGTAAAACGGATTATTTCTGCTTCTTTCCTCTGTACTTAAGTGCTCCTGAACTATGTGGAGTCAAGAAATTCTGGAGCAACCCTCGGCAAGGCAAAACATCGAGAAAAGCTGAAATGTCAAAAGCTGGATGCATTTGACGAAGTGCCGTTGTTAAAATAATTTTAGGACTTTACAAAAAGCGACCGCAAGGTCAAATCCTAAAACTGGGGTGGAGATTGCTCATTAGTACTTTCGTCTATAACAACTATAGCATCGCTAATCGTAAATTTCAAGTCTGGAAATTTCTAAAGGTTTGATATACGGGAGGCTGAATACGACACATCGTCAAAACCATAACCTACCATAACTCAGGCTACCTTCATAGTCAAATAAAGAGCTGTCAAAAATCGGAGAGAGCGCTTGCCCCAGTTCTGATTAATTAAGATTTCACTGAACGATGCTGCAATACTTAACTCGCATTTTTGCAAGACAACCTGAAAATCCTTAAAATCTGCGACATTCGGGAACAGCTGAACAGAATGATCTATTGTTATGCTACTATTTGACCGAACTCATAAAACAAGTAAAATGTATTCAGCTTCCATCTCAGATAAGCAAGCGAAATCAGAAAGGAGGCAGTTTTAACACTTTACCTGGTCCTATTTAGAAAGGTTCTTCACTCCTCTTCATTTATCCGACTTGTTTTTTCTTCCCCTCAAAAAAAAGTTACAGCAATCATCCATTTTGGCATAAAAAATTATATACAGGAAAATGCAACCGAAGGAAGGAAAAAGTAACCGGTGTAACAAAAATGGAAAAATAACCGCATTAAAATATCCAAAATAATCACCGGAGTTTTTGCAGAATATCACAGCTCATTTATCTCCAGTGAAATGCTACAAAAAAAGCATTTATTGCTTTCAAAACGGGAAAAAAAATGCAATTAATGCATTACTTAATTATTGATAACTTATTATATCAACAATTTTCTCCGGCAGCTCGAACCACTCTCTTTTAACTTCGCAAAAAAAACTTACTCATGCGGCTAATATCATCAGCAAGCCGCTCCCCCGGATATGTCAACAGAAGTTTTCCCTAATAAGATGCTCATAGAGCAAAAGAAATCGGCAAAAAATCGTTACGAATAAAACTAAGATTTCAAAAAATTGAAAAATTCGGTGCTTTTTATAAAAAAACTGAAAAAATATGGGAAAAAAACCCACTTTAAAACTTCCCAAGCAAATCACCAGAGACGAAAATAGCTTTTTTTGAAATACAAACTAATGATAATGATAATGATGACGATACTGATACAGAGGAGTTATTTCTATCTTTCTATAGCACAGAATTCTCAGAGACACAAACAACAAAAAGGACAGTGTAACCAACTATCAAGCATTAATATCATTATCAAAAGAATGGTGAGAATGATGAAAAATAGCTGTATATTGATAATACTATAATAATGAGGACCACAGAGTGACGGTAAAGAAAGAGAATATCACGAATGCGCTCGTCCAAAAAAAAAAAAACAGTATTAGTTGCGTTTATTTTCAGAAGCAGTTGTAAAATCTCATAATATTTTACAAAGGCTGGAGGAAGGTGGGGACGGCTTGGCCGAAGTCACCAAAATTTGGTTCCAGATTAACGAGGGAAAACGCCAACTGAGGATAAAAATGGACAGAGACTAGGAGTTCCTGGATGAATTAACTTCTGCAAAATCGGCTCCCCCAGAAGAAAAAATTTTCGTCACTTACTGAAAGATACACTCAAGCTCTGAAAACACCACAATTCTGCAATGTCTATTTTCCTGGCTAATACGAGAATTAAGATCGCTCGGATCACCAGTATTACTGAGACACAGTTAGGTTCTCTGCGCACGATTTCAGGATTAAATGATTTTTTCAGTAACGAATATAAGAAAAACACGACCTATATTTTTAATTTTAACTTTATTACAGTTGGAATTTAGTCGAATATTTTAGTTTTTTTTAAAATTAAAAAAAAATTAGGATCTACTGAAATTGAACTATTTCGTACCATAGCAATAAACAGTGAGCATTATTCGGATCTCCATGAAGTGTACGAAGAACAAAAGAAACAACAGGAAATTGGAGAAAAAAAAACAATTATAAAAACGTGCGAATACAGAAATACCTAACAAATTAGAAAATATCAATGGGTTTTACTTTAAAAAGGAAAAAAGAACAGAAATGAAAAGACCTTGGACTCGGATGTGAGGTATTTCTTTGAATGACCCATACCAATACAATATGTGATTGATTGATTAGCAAGCGCGCTACTAATATCCGTAAGCAGCAAAATTTACAAATATCTAATTTTATTTAAGTAGTTTTGAAGAATTCCTTCGGAAGTGCCTCC